AAGAATGACTAAGAGCTGTAGTCTCCGGGGCTTCCTTTCAGACCAGTAAGCCTGGAGGGTTTTTTTGTTTGTTTTATGATTGTGAGTTTTGTTCCACATTTTTCTCCCCATCTAGCATACAAGACCCAGTAGTATGATCCCTTACAAAATGATCAGCAATGGTAGCCAAGTACCATCTAGTTCTTCTGTTCGGTATCACGAATGCTGGGACTTGTGTGGTCCATTAGTCCTATGAACTAATTGCTTCTATCACTCTTCAATGGTCTTCACTCTTTTTGGCTCCAGATGGGAGAGAGTAATAGTGGCAACTTAGATGACTACTCCCAAGCTTTTAAGACCCCTACTCATCAAAGTAGAAGGTAGAACAACGTTTTTGTGGACTATATTATGCCACTTGACCTTGGTGTCCCCTGAGACTATGGTCCTGAGGACCCTCAAAGTGTTTGGTTCTAGCTAATAAGTTTACATAACTTTGCTCCCTGTTTGCTCTACTATGGTGGTGGTGGTTATGTGCCATGGAGTCAGTTCCAACTCATAGCGACCCTGTACAGGGTTTCTGAGGCTGTAAATCTTTACAGGAGCAAAAAGCCTCTTCTTTCTCCCATGGAACAGCTGGTAGTTTCAAATTGCTGACCTTTAAGTTTAGCAGGCCAATTCGTAACCACTACACTACCAGAGCTCCTATATACATATATAGATATATGAAGGTAAGTCAAAATGTTTTGCTGTTAGGGTTCTGATTCATATATGCATGGGCTTATTTCAAACAAAATGTGTTCCATTCAACATGTCTCTGAGACCAATGTATGGCTGCAGAAAAATTCTCTCAGTAATAAACTTGTCTTGGCCTTGTTAGGGTGACTTTTAAAAAAAGGTCCAATCAAAACTAGCTTCTGAGGGGATCTGCTGGTCCAGTTAAATTCAAGGCAGAGAGGTCAGCTCAGAAGGTTACGGCAGCTGTTTTTTGTGAATCCAAAGGGTTAATCTTGGTAGATTTTCTCAAAGGACAGAGAATAATCATGGGAACTTATTAGAAAGAAGGTTACGGTTATGGAAAATTGCACTGGTGAGAAAAAGGCCAGGAAAGTTGTACTGAAAACTTCTCCATCATAACAAAGCATCTACTTATTCTATGAGAGTAGCAAGGGCTGTCTTAGGAGAATTTCACTGGGAAACCTTACCATATCTGCCGTACAGCCCTGGTCTTGCCCCTTCAGACTTCCATATGTCCCCCAAATTCAAAGAACATTGAAAAGGAACAAGACTTGACTCCTGGATGCCAAAACTGCAGTTTAGACATGGCACAGATTGAAGAGCACAGAATTCTTCAGGGAAGGGTTACAGAGATGGTAACACCACTTTCAGAAGTGTACAGACCTCGATGGAGATGTTGAAAATCAATAGCTGCACATTTTGATCATTTTGCTTAATAAAGTGTTCTGTGATTTTATAAAAACATTTCAACTTACCCTCATCTTTATTTGTTGTTGTTTAGTACCGTTGAGTCGGTTCTGACTCATAGTGACCCTGTCATATAGGAGTGGCTGGTGGGTTTGATCTGCCAACCTCGCAGTTCAAATTGACCTTTTCGATCCAATGCATTATCCTGCGGTGCCGCATTAGTACTCTCCCCTCATCGTTATAATACATACAGATATATATAGAGAAATATCAACTGCCAACCCTGTATATGGTCCTTCTGGTACTCCCTTCCACCAACTTACTCATATTTGTTCACCTTGCCTGTCTGCCTATGTATCCACCTGTAGATTAATGTTTGTTATTACTGATCATGTAGGATTGTGTATACAATAATGTTTACTTTTGCTGCCTGCAACTCTTTTGCACTTCTCTGTGTCTTCCTTTTTTTTGGTGATATTGTGCAGATCACCCCCAAATTTCCTTCACCCAAATTAATACATCGTCACTATCTAGTGACTGATTTTCCTTCCCCTCCTTTCCCATCCCTGGTAGGTAACCATCAAAGAATGGTTACCATCAACCTTACCTTGACTTTTTATAATATTTGTCCTTTTGTGATTGACTTATTTCACTCAGCATAATGTCCTCCAGGTTTACTCACATTTTAAGGTGTTTTGTGGATTCTTCCTTATTCTTTACTGTTGCCTAGCATTCCTTTGTGAATAGGTACCATAGTTTATCCATTCATCCATTGATGCACACGTAGGTTGCTTCCATCATGGCTACTGTGAATCATGCTACAATTAACATGGATGTGCATATATCTGTTTGTGTCCTGGCTCATATTTCTTTAGGATATATACCTAGCAGTGGGATTGCTGGATGAAATGGTATTTCAAATCCATTTTATAAGGAAGCACCATACTGTTTTCCACAGTGGTTGCCCCTTTGAGTAACTGTAAGTAGGTTTCATTTCCTATGAATGAGCACTGTGGCTGTTTCAAGTAAGCACTCAACATTTCTAATCTGTAGCATCTTTTTTGGACTTTCTGTCCTTTTTTTTATTAGCTATGCAAATTAATTTCCTCACAGCATCAGGAATGTACTTGAACAGGTAAATATAATAGATCATCACTTATCTGGGATATTTATGTTGGTGTTAAGTGCCTTCAAGTCAGTTCCAGCTCACAGGGACCTGGTACAGGGTTTCTGAGGAGCACTTGGTGAGCTGGAACCACCAACCCTGTGGTTCAAACCAATCTTACAGTCAAAACAAGTGTGCAGGTACATGAAAAGACTTAATGAGATTAGATGTCATGACTTGGGGTTTTCACCTATGGTCATGGAATGTAATTACTTAGACTTCAGAACTACCTTTCCAAATCTCATTAGGAATTTTGTGTCTTACCTTGGAACAACAGGGCTCTGGGATACAAGGATTGAGGCATGGTTGGAATGGGCAAAAGGGGGGAAATAACGTTAAGATCCTTGAGTTATGTGGTGTTGGAGGAGAATACTGAAAGTGCTGTGGACTGACAAAAGAACCAACAGATCTGTGTTGGAAGAAGTGCAGCCAGAGTGCTCATTGGAGACCAGGAGGGCCAAACTTCGTCTCTTCGAACATATTTTCAGGC